AGCGGGGCGTCATGCATTGCTTGCCTGAGATGGTCTGAGATGATGGTGCGTTTCCACCCAACCGACTCGAAAATCAGCCCAGACCGACACGGTACCACAGCAAGCCCTACCCGCTCGTCAGAGCTGCAACAGAAGCTGCCGCAAAGTGCCCAAGCACGGTATCCCGGCAGTGCTCTTCCCTACTCCAGCTCAGTTTTCATTTTTGCTGGGGTGCTCGATGCCACAGAAATCTCCCGATGATCCAGAAGACAGAGAGCATCCTGCACGAACTCCTGGCCCGCGATGCACTGCTCGTTGAGCCTCAGCAGGCCAAAGCTGGAAACCGGGATCCCAAGCCGTTTGGGGGCTCCGGGGTTCTAGTATTACTGCAGCACCGGTGCGGTACATCAACAGCACGAGACAAGTGACGTCAGCAACCGTAAACGAAATCACTGTCATGACGACACGGCGGCAACATGAATGACAGCCGACACTACTGGTGGTGAATACAGATGACAGCAGCGACAGCGCTAACAAGGGCAATGATTACCATACTACCAATGCTAAGCAAGAAATAGTGAGAGCAGTCACAAAGAAAGAGCTTCTACCAACTCAAACCTTGCAGAGACACTGTAACGGGGCCTCAATTATTAATTAGAATGGGGGTTGGGCCTACTTTTATAGTTATGATCAGGAGCCCGAAGGACTAATCTTGGTAATTACTTAAAGCTTCCATACGTAGATGGCAGATTCCGGAAGGCCGCTGCCCAGAGACTTAGGGCCTTTCGACTTCGAGAGGAGGACTCCCAAAGATGGAAACAACTGAAACCCCTGAAAGCTAAAAGCATCTACCCGAGAGGCCCTAAAGTAGCTCCTTTTTGGGAATACCTTATAGGATTCTTAATATATGAACCCCCCAAAAGGAACTACTTTAGGGTGTATGGGTAGAAGCTAGAACCCGGAGATTAAGACCTGAAGCCCTAGAAACAACCCTAAAGCCTGAACCCCTAAACCCTAAACCCTAACCCACAATATCTGGCCCTAAACCCTGAAACCTCGGACCCCATCTCGCGAAACTGCACGGTGCCAGTGCCCAACGGCTCTAAGTATCGAACTCCCTGCTCCGCTGTTGCAGCCTCGGAAAAGGGGGGCTCGGGATGGTTTGGAACTCGAGGTACTTAGTACTTAAACGCTTCAGTTTATAGTGTTCTGGCTTGCAGAACTTCGAGGTTAAGGGTTTTTGGGAATCTCAACGAACAGGCTTGTGTGTCTGGGGTCCCGCCCTGTGGACGAGGCTAAGCTAAAGCCTGATTCGGTGAATTACTGTGCAGGATAATCATGGGCTGTGTGGGATTTTGCGGAACTGTGAAAGGTCAGGCGCCCACCGTGCGCTGACTGTCTGCAGTAAACTGGACACACCGACCCGTAAGAATCGCTGAGGATTCGGAGTTGTCTTGCTTTGAGGAGCTTCTCTAATCGTCTTAAAGAGCCAGCAGCTCGCAGAAATGAGGCCAGGATCAAGATAAAGAAAAGTGAAGCGAAGAGCCCTGACAGTCTGAGGGATGGTTCGACTAGGCATAGATGCATAGATCAAGACCCTCATCCTCAACCTCACCGACAAGAGACTCGTGTCTACGTTTCGATCAATGAGCGACTTCCAATCCGTCCGAGCATCTAGACTCTAAACTGTCTGAACAGCTGTATGCACACATGAACGCATATACATACATGCATATATACTTACAGGCATAATACACACTCCGTGTGAGATAGCGAAGCCACACGCACAAACAACTAGAATCGAGCAAATCGAGCTCGACATGACATGTCAATGTGCAGGTGCGGTCAAATTTGTCAAGTGTGATGTACAGGTATCATCGCATGCCGATATCAAGCTGGGTAGCTGTATCCTTCCACTGTACATCCGTCAACGAATCCCTGTCTGCATCAGCTGCCGAGCCACGTAGACATTCGCGTGTTGGCCAAACGAGCAAGAATCTCGTCGCCTGAGATGCGTGAGATTGCGCTTGACTCTGGCACAGTGTTCCACAGACCAGCACAGCTTCCCGTGGTCTGACTCCGACGGGGTACAGGTGGCTTCCACCGTGATGCATGAGGCCAGAGATTCATCAAGTCCATCCCGAAGAGGATCCTTCAGGGCTTTGGAACTGCCCATCGGTTCTGCACAGCGGCAACTAAAGGAGTCTGGCCGATTCTGATCCGAGGCACTGGATCCAACAAGCTCTGCGCGTAGATGTCCAGCCACTTTCGGACGAACTGCTTGAACTGCTGATGCACCGTTGGGTCAACATACAGATCCTGACTCACCATTACGAAAGGCAATTCCTTGCTAGTCTGTGGGCCTTCAGGTCAAGAAACAAACACCCCGAGAGTCTTAGCCCATTACTGCTGAAGACACAGAAAACTGCACACACACACGTCAGAAAGCACACCCTATCTTTGCGGACCTGACTTTGATGCAAACCCTGCTTCAAGCACAAACGTAAGTTCGTCTACAAGTCTACATATTGATGTAAACGTCGACGTAGACCAGAAGCCGAGCTGGCACAATGCCGGTGCCGAAGCTTCATCATACAGGCGTCGCATGCATTGTGGCTTATGTGTCTTCTCGTTTGCAGCGTACCACACATACATACATGCATACATACATACATACATACATACATACATACATAATACATATTTATGCAGCACATAACATATTTTGAACTCAGGACCAAGCTGCTGTATGGTAGTACTTCGTACCAATCAGAAACTTCTCGAACTCTTCGCGGCTGGTTGTAAAACAGCTCATCGCGAATGCGGCTGCAGTACCGGTCAGGTCATCGATAACCTTCCGCATTTCCTGATCATTCTAGGCTCTTGAGTTCTAGCTTTAGGGTCGAGGTACAAGTACTATGATGGGTGAATGGCAACTCGCCAGCCGATTGTGAAGTTCCGAGACAAGAGCATGCTGGCTGGCCGGCTGCACTTGGACATGCGAGTGTTCCTCGTGTATCCCCAACCACAAACTCTAATGTGGGGGGCCTAAATAATAATTACCAATTCTATTTGGGGGTTCCTTACTTTCTTATAGTATAATATTAAGGCCCCTCTATTTAACAGGGCCTTTTTTTCACCTTGGGCTGCCACCTTGACCTCGGCATCGTAGCCTTTCACCAGGTCTTGCACAGCTTGCTGGGCCGTCTGCATGTGATCCGCCAGTGAGCCTGGATTGTTGCGGGTTAGGGTTTAGGGTTTAGGGTTTAGGTCTCGTGGGGAAGCTTGCTTTCAACAGCTCATCTGATGCGAGGTGTCAGAGCCGTGGGATATCGCACGAAATGTTGAACTCATGGTGCTCTGCAGCGTCACGGCCTTGATCGTACTCCCGGATGAACTGAACGAACATGTAGTTGCCTCAGGTATCCAGGTACTACACCCGCCCACCTCGCTGTCGAGAGGAACGCACTGGAGACGACATGACTTGGAGAGAACGGGAAAGCCCTACTTCAACAGCCATCCAACCTCACTCAGCAACTCGGAAGTTTGGTGCTGTCATGCTTTGGTAATTACTGAATTACTGTAGAAGCCTAAAGAGGCAGAAAAGCTTGCATCCGAGGCTGCTGGGAATAGCCACCACTAGCGCCACTATTTGCCGAATGCAAAACGGCGATGCGCCTCGGTCGGCGGCAACTTCGTGTCCAACCCCGATGACACCGGACACGGTACAGATGCAGACCCCTCTCCGAAGTTGCAGTAGACCAACCCGTTTAAACAAGAGGATCCTTGCAGACTCTACTGTCCGCTTTAACGGAGTTTTTGTAGTGGCTTCGACTTTGAAACCAGGGGCAGGTCTCGCTGGCAGCGACGACATAGATGGAGAATGCCGTGAAGACCGCAGTGGTCAGAACTCCCAGGAGCAGAACCAGGTGGAGCCAGTCCTGAATAGAGCCTCGTTGAGTCATGTGAAAGAAGCACCACGAGTCACTGTGGAATCCCTATTCTTTATGTTATGGCACGCACCCTCCATAAGCCACACCATACAGTGCGGACGGTAGCTGAGAAAATATCTAGCCTAGCCCGCATCGAACGCAGCTCCGCTTGCCGACTTGCTTAGGCAAAGGGGCACAAGCTCTGCGGCAAACATTTGCAGCATGGGGCGAAGCAGTTGCACGGAAAGCAGCCTCAGATCGGTCTCTGCTGCATGGCTTACTTCATGGCGTTTCGATCAGAACGTAAAGGATGTGAGTGACGCGAGAATCTGCCTGGGAGCAAACATCAAGTCCTTTCGCTGCTCATGTGCACCAGCGAAGCCAAGTGCGGCCCGGGCTCAGGGAGTTGCCGGTTGCGCCGCTATGTTGGGGGGGGGATGCCCAGGTTGTGTGGTCTTACAAAGTCAGAGCTCCTTCCCTCGATTCGTCCGTTTTCTTGCACGGCACCTAGCCTGCTCAGTCTTTCCGAGAATGTGCTAGCATGTGCCAAGCGAGCCAACATGTGCGCTCTACGAAGCATTCACTGCGCAATTTTACACAAGAGAACTGGCTTGCCCAAGTTGTTGAGCGGGCTAGCAAATCTGAGCGGGCACGTTAATCTGGGTGAATACACAGAAGGACCACTGACAAAAGTCGCATCCGGGTCGCAGTTGTGCAGCTTGCTGCAGCAGATGCAGTCACAACGGCATGAGCGGCCGGATTCCGACATCGTCCTAACCTACAGTTTTGTAGCTGTTGATGGATGAAATATGTCTCGGCATGGATGTAGAACCCAGTGTCAACATCAAATGCAGAGTGGCAACGTGGATCGGTTGAGAATGGGATGAGTGCAAGCTGCAAGCACATGTGTGCACCTGCACATGTAATCTCCTTTCCGATCTGCATATCTTCCCGGAAGATTACCCGAACGAGCCCAAGCTGGTGCTGCAGATGCATCGGCAGTTCACCCTCTTTGCACACACTGTGGTCTTGATTGGAAGAAAATAAAACTTGACACGACGACGCACTCGGAGCATCCGAGTCTTCGACAGAGCTCGTGCACACTGTAACAGGATGGAGAGAACCTGCAAGGCACATCAGCACGACCGCTCGGTGGGTGGTACTCAAAGGATCATGGGACGTAGTAAGTAGAGTTATAATTAGGGTAACTATACCTATAACCCCAATTAAGGGACTTATAACCCTACTTACTAAGTCCCATGATCCTTTAAGCAACCAAAAAGAGCAACAACCCGGCAACCCGCACAACCCTAAACCCCAAACCCTAAACCCTAAACCCGGCAAGCCGCCCACAGAGGCCTCCAGCTCCTCAAAATGGCGACACTCTGATCTCCTGCCTCACCGGGGCTGGGACTCAAAGATCAGGTCCAGGGGAGGACTAATCTAGGGGTCTAGGGTTTGGGTTTAAGGTTTAGGGTTTAGGGTTTAGGGTTTAGGGTTTAGGGTTTAGGGTTTAGCCTTAATAATTAGAATAGGGTTCTTTAAATGGGGTACTATGAGGGTTACTATAAGAGTGTTCAGCATCAAGGTGGGGCACTTCAACTCGAGCGACTCTCTGAGGCCCTCGCACTTCACAGCCGAGAACAGGTCACCCGCGTCTGCGTACTCCATGAGGATGTACATTGTGCCATCCTCCCAGTCTTTTTCCGTGCCCATTCAAACGTCTTGCATACAGTGAGAATATAGCTCAGCTAGCAGCTAGCCCGCAATTTTCCCTGAGACGGAGAAAGAGAGGGAGAGAGAGAGAGAGATATATGTGCGTACATATATATATATATAGACCTTGATGCATATATATATATATATACACACATACATACTATATATATATACACCCGCACACACACACACTGTATATGTCGATGACAAGATCTGGATTGTTGCACCCAGCCTGAAATCTTCGAAGCAGCTTAAAGCCTAGCGGTATGACAAGTATTTTAACGCAGGCTGTCTCCATTTCAGGTTTGCTTCATGGAAACCCTATGCCTCCATGACCGTGTCGTAGTACGCAACGATGTTCACCTCTCCGATCGTCAAGAACAGTGTTGAAGAGTTTGAGAGACGAGATTGCAATCTGGCACAGCTTCATTGGCTGAAGGATTTAGTGCTGGGAGTGCCGTTCTCAAGTTGCTGTCGAGCGGCATGGCTCAGCGACTTTAATATTCGCACCTGCATAGAGATTTGGCTCTGCGCGAAAGCAGCTCTCACACAACTTCGCAGCACAAGGTTACCAGTTCCGGGCGGATTAGTCATTAGTCACGCACCGAAACACTAATGCGCCCCTTTCCTTTGGAGCGGTGAAGAACGCAGCCCTGACTGGCACCTCGTTTTCCGTCTCCTCCCAGGTGCACTGGACATTTGGACTTCTCACTGAAGGCGTCACGATGGGACTGAGACTTTCAGAGACCCAGTCTTCCATGCCATGCACAGGTTGGCAGCTTCAAGAGAAAGGTTTCATCCAGGGTGCAGAATCAATTCGGTCTTGCCCTGCCTGAAGCCCCAACAGACCAAGAGCAACCCCCAATCGTACGACAAACACCCCCTGGAGCTGCAAATGAAAACCAAGCTTTGAAAGAGTTGAACTCTTTATTCAATCGCTCGCACAACCCATACGTCTTTCGACAAGCACTGCGGCATCCTGTCAGGGCCCTTGTTGCAGAGGCACCCAAAAGCCTTTATGCTCCCCCGGAGAACCCCAAACTGAATTTGAAGGCTCCTCCAGAGCGGCTCTTGGCATTGTCCGTAGGTCGATCTCCTTGGCCACAGAGAGCTGTACCTTCCCAGCCGCGGACCCATGGAGGATGCATCACGGGATTTGCTGCTAGATGCCCCCGGCATTTACAAGATCTTTCCCTTCCCATGCTGCTCTCAGCATTGTTCTTAGGATGTTCTTAGTATAGCGACCCCATGGGCCAAGCGCACATCTTCTTCAATGTCCAAGGTACCTGTCCTCAGTCAAGGCAACGCTCCTATCACAAACGACTCATCAGCTCCAAGCTGCTAGTGCTGACGTTCTGGGCATGCTGCAAGCTCTTTCGCTTGCGAACGAGGCTTGCGATACCGTACGACCTTAGGCGGACGGGTGCAGACGATCTCAAACGATCACTCCGATGCAAGCCGTGCCGACGCTACTGGCCCGGAGGCGACAGGAAGCTAAGGTGGGATCCCACGTCCAAGTATCCTCACACGCTCAAACCTCAGGTAGCACGGCATGTGCCAAGAGCCCACACGCAAGTGCCCCTGCATGCTCCCCCAGGCAGTTGTCCGCACCTCTTGCTGTAAATCAAATCTCCTCGTGTCGCCCCCCCCCCCCCGCCCCCCCCGCCCCAGGTTGTGGCGGATGTGCGGTCTTCCCCACTGATCTTGGATGCACGAGCGTGCCGGTACAGTTTGTGCGGGTTAGACCGGGTCAGGTTCGAGGGGTCTTTCTGGAGATTTTGGGATTGATTTGCGTTTCTGGCAGGGGACCGGATGACTGCCGGATGTGCTGGATCTATCTTTGGACACTGCAGGCGGCGTCGCCTTATCACCATTCCTTACGGTAATCTCTGTACTCCTCCAAGTAAAAGGGTCCTAAAGCTGTGCTCTATGTCTATATGTCTTCTCTCACAGAAAACAGTCACATAGTCCGCAGATAAAGTGCTGAACACTGATGTTGCAAGATGTCGGCTCCGAAGACCTGCAGGCCTACAGGCCTGCAGACACAATCCGTATAGTCCGTAACTTAATCCAAAAACGGAAATGGCTGCGGAAGTCCTGACTACAAATGCACGTAACTTTCCGAAGCCACGAAACCTGGGTATCTAGGTCCCAATACTCATCGACGGAAGCTGGACGTGAGCAGCAATCCATTTTACATCATGCGACCCACATAACTCACATAACCAAAGGTCCGCTGGCCTCCTACGATGACAAAAGTGACATGATTACCATTGCTCCTTATTTGGGCCACGACTTAGTGCCGAAAGGAACTAGATTTGACACATGGGGCTAATTCAAGGCAGTCATATCACAAAGTCACATTTGGGACGAACTTGTAAACCTGCGATCTCGGCGATATGGCACACGGGAGTCGAACTGTCGAAAGTGGCCGCGGTCAGCCGATCTCGCTTAGCTCCGAAGAGACTGGGCGCCAGGCTGGTTCATTGACCCATTCAGCAGCGCACAATGGGAAGGTTTAATTAAGAACAAATCATCGGGTCTTGTGCCAAAATTTGCTACGCTGCAGGAAAAGGGTCTGAGAAATTGACGGGAACAAGCGCTGGGTCGCCGATTCCTGGAGTCGATGCAACTTCGCTTTTTGCCAAAGCCTGTGAAACGTCGCCTTAGGCGGAGCTGCGCTGAAATGGCACTTCAGCTGTTTGTACGTCTCTGGTGAGACGAACTGGAAGCAAAGAGCCTACAAAAGCGCACAATGTGCTAAAGAAAACCGTCGCTATCAATACCGGAACGCGGTGGGGTCTTTGAGGGATTTCGGAGTTCGGACGATAGCATACGTGCTGGTCTGACTGGGATGATGGGATCACAATCGTCTCCTGGATGCAGACACTTCTGCACCACCATCCTACATTAAGCACGGATCACTCATGGCCCGCTCTAGCCTAGTTCAAGTCTGCACCAGGTTCAAAGACTCTGGCAGAGCAACTTCTTTTCGGATGTGAGGGGTGTCAGGGCATGTCCCTGCTCTATGAGCAGGATGGGAGTTAGGCATGCCCAAGCAGGACGGATCCCTTGCTGGGGCCCTTGCGCTAGCTGCTGCTTGTCGAACGAGCGCTTGTTTCTGTCTTCGATGACCTGCAATGGCGAGACGAAGAAGGACGCTTTCCGCAGCCTCCAGGCTTTTCTCCACGGGTACAGTGCGGTCTTAAACGTTGTCTGCAGGCAGCTGACGGTATGCTTCGATTTCACGGAGGTCCTTGCGACGTAAACCACTGAGTATCTCCAGCACGGATACAGCGGGACACAAAACAGCACCGAGTACGGTTCAAGGCCGGACATGGGATTCATGTACATCATCCAAATTTAAGGCGTGTTTATACACACGCACACACACACACACACAGACAAATTAGAAGTTTATGCAACAGGTTGATTATGCCTGCTGGAACTACAGGTGCAATCCCCGTCTCTCTTTGTGTCTTTCTCTCTCTCTCTCTCTCCCTCTCTCCTCCACTTAGGGGAGCCAGCGGGCGCTTCGCCCCCCGCACGTTACCGCCAGTAGTGTGCTGAGTTACACGGACGGCAAACACCTTCTTCCCCATAAATGGGCCAGGCTTCCGAGAGCAAGCCCTTGCAGTACCTGTACACCCCCCCCTCTCTTGCTATCTTTGTTTCTTTCTTTCTCTGGGGGGAAGTTTCCGCAGGCGTGGCCCCTCGCACCCTCGCCCCTTTGCACTAAAGAGGGTATTGGGAGCAAACAACACCATGAGGTTAGTGTTCGACGACTGCGCTTGGGTTCCTGCAGCGCTTGGTGTGGCCTGGGACGGTGCTCTAAACAGTCATGACATCAACTCGGCAGTGCCTCCATCTATCTATCTATCTATCTATCTACCTACCTACCTATATCTATCTATCACTTCACTTCACTCACAGGGTCCAGGGAACGTGCGAAGCCCACCCCACCGAAAGGTGCGCCTCTGTTGAAGGGCTTGGTAGAGGAGCGTGAAGAGCCAAGGAGCTCTGAAAAAGATCTCCCTCTCTCTCTCTCTCTCTCGATGAGCCTACACACATGTAGACTGTAGACTCCTCCAATCCCAATCCCTCCACCCTGAGCACAGATGGCATTCACTGCAAATGATTTCGAGCACCGCCTTTGCCGCCCGGATGTTCGTCTTGTTCACATCCTTCGGCTTTTTGAGCTGCGGGAGAACCATATAAACTGAGAACGGCTACCCTTTAAAGGCAATGGTAGTGGTAGTAGTGGTCGTCGTCGTGGTAGGAGCGAGCGAAAGTAGTAGGAGTACGAGTAGGAGTCGCAGCAGAAGCAGCAGCAAGCAGCAGCAGCAGCAGTAAGACGCAGTAGTGGTATTGTCATGTTTCTTCTTCCTCCTTAGCCTTATTCGCTGTTGTTTCTGTTGTTGTTTTTTGGTCATTAGTCAAAAGTCGTAGTAGTCGTCGTCGTAGTACTAGCAGCAGCAGCAGCAGCGGCCGTGGCGGCGGCGGCAACGGCAGCAGTCGAGGTGGTGGCGGTGCTTGTGGTGGTTGTGGACAACCGTTTTTATGACAGAGAGTCGCGAGCTGAACCCCAAGATGCAAAGCCCTGAATGCAGTCCTTCATCGCCTTCAGATGCTTCCGGCTTTGGACATTGAACCTGACAAGCGGCCGCTCTAGCTGCTCGGATCACAGTCTGGTGGAATTGGGCTGATCAAGTCTCCGTAACTGCAGGGGCAACCGTTATGCATACTAATTTAATGTCTGCGCATCAAGATGCCATAATATTCGTAGACTGCGCATCTCCAGAAGCGCTTCGATGTCTGATGAGATCGTGGCAGCAGTGACGTCTGCACGAAGGTACGCCGCATTACGCGACTGCATATGTCACTGGGAGTATGGTTCCTGTATCTATCTATCTATATATATATATATGCGTGTGTGTGTGTGTGTGTGTGTGCGTGCGTTGCCTTGGTCATGCGCGCCATCCAGTGCATGCCATGCTTGAATGCGGCAGACTCAATCTCGCTTTTTGTTTCTGTCTTCTTGGCCAAATCAATTCTTCCCCACCCCCACCCTCCCTCCCACTTCCTCTGAAGGTCTTGCGGCAGAGTCTTGCAGTTGCCTAGAAGCTTCTCTACAACTCCGGAGGTAAGTCACGCGCTCTTGACCTTCCGACCCCAAATCCGACTCGTCCCCTGCCGCGGGGCGCCTTCGTTCGGCCCGGAGCCTCAGCCGAGCTTCCGGGAAACTCTACATGGGTTTAGGTTTAGGTATCCTGAGTATAGGGGTCCCTATGCTAAGGATCTCACTCTGAGGGGCCTTTGGGTCCGGGTCCCCTGATTGCGGGAACTCCGATATACGGATGGCGAGAGAACGATCCATGGCAGTCGAAAGGTCTGCCATGGACTGCAGCGAACTGAGAACGTCGCTTCAGCTCTTGGGCGCAGGCTCGTCGAGCTCATTGATTTCGGCCGTCGCCCGCCGGCGAATGGCATCATAGGCCTGTGGGTGGGAATGTCAGTGGATGTGCTTGATACTGCAACTTCGAGAAAGTTGTAAGTTTGCAGTTGCATTGAACGGACATGCATTGCAAATGCGGCCTGATTCGCAGGGCTTGGTGTCGTACACCCATCAGGGTGAACAAGGAGTCGCAATATGTACGAACATGCGACGAGGCCTGCCATACGACAAGAAAGCACCCTATACAAGACTACCCGTAGATCGCGATGAAGGACACCGTTAGTCAGTCTGTACAGCAAACGACCACAAGGTGGTCGGAACATACGATACTTACAGACTCCAGAGACAGAGTCTGGCCTCCTCCGATCGACACAATCTGAGAGCCAAAGTCCCAACCCGAACCCGGGTTCGCCTCCCGCTGCCGTAGAGTGGCGAGCTTCTCCCTCAGCATGGCTGAGTTCATGGTGGCAGAAATTCGCGAGAAACCATGCTGGGGGGGGGGGGGCAGCGCGACAGCTGAAGCCCGATTTGCGGCCATCCTACACCGCGCATAAAAACGTAATTGTGTTCAATTCAATGCTTCTTGGAGTGGACTGTTAGCTTCTTCCAGGTGGCCGTTGAGAGCATCATAATAAAAAGACCATCAAGGCTGCCTGGCTCGGGTGCATTTTTTCTCCGACGCCGTGAGCGTGGTCCTCCGCCAGGTGGCTCCGATATGCTTGGTCTCTCAGTTGCCCTTGCCGCCGCCCTGAGGTCAAGGAATGTGTAAGGGTGCGCAAGCTGCAGGCTGCAGGACCCACATGTACCACACCCAAACGCTTCGAAGGCAACGGTGCAATCGGGCTCGCGCCTTCTGTGGTGGCTTGTAGACACGTCCTGAAGCCATCAAGTCAGGATCTCTTGCAAATATGAACCTTTGTGCAGACGCAGTGCAGCCTGCACTTGACCAGGAACCCTGCTCTTCCCCCAAACCCGCCAGACCTGTGACACAGAGCCCCTAAGCCTTCGAGGTTCAACCCCAAAAAGCCCTGAGTCTCCCTACTGACATAGAAGCCTCGCAACTTTTAGAATAATAGGGCTTCGGGCCCCGTTATAATATAACAATACTAAGGGATCCCAGGGAAGGAGATAGGTCAATTCTTTATATAGGCTCCTACAGTAAACCCTAAACCCTAAACCCTAAACCCTAAACCCTAAAACCCTAAACCCTAAACCCTAAACCCTAAACCCTAAACCCTAAACCAAAGTCTCCGGCCTTCGGGGCTGGCACGCAGCACCTGCAGGTGTTCTGGACGTCTTGGGGTCCTGGGGCCTTCGGAACTTGGGCTTGTACAGGGCTTATATAGGGTTTATATAGGGTTTTGTGGAAATGCATGCCCTCTCCTACCCTCTCCTCTGATTTTCGAGTGGATGTGTTTGGCTCTAGGCGAGGCTTCGGAATTTATGCCTTGGGTCAACACACTTTTCACAACTTACAGCACCTTAGTGTAGGACGCTCTTGTACATTTCAGTCCTAGATGCACTTGTATAGAAGGTTGCTTACTTCGTTGTTGTGTGGAGAAAACTGTAGGTGCGCTCGAGGGTTCATGGACTGAGGTTGGGATAAGAGGCCCAATCCTTTAGAGAAGGCCCCGAGGAGCTGCTGGGTTCTGCACAAATCGAGAAGTGTACCAAGTTTTTCTTCAACATCCTTCTGGAAGGCTGAGCTCTTGAGGACTTCAGCTTCAATCCTTTGGATTCAACAGGTTATGAGTTC